AATGTATTATATTTGCTTTTCCTCGTTTTTCTTATGAAATCAGAAGCTCTTTAGATCTTATAATGTGCTGCTACATTCTTGCATTTTTTACAAATTGAGAAAGTGATATTAGAATGAAATTAAATCTAATCAACTCCATATATCATCTCTTTCACCCAAGAGATTAGAACTTTGTTCAGATAGTCTTTACCTGCTTCTTTTTGTTCCCTTCACCAATGTGTGCTATTTTGAAATCTTTTTATTTAGTGGGGAGAGGCAGCTGTAAGGCAAAAAAATATCAATCCCATTGATTCTTCATTGGTTTTAATTTATAAATTGGTTTTGTAACTTGTTCAATAGTGGAAATGTCACAAAGAGTCATGTCTGTTGTTCATGTCAGCTAAAACCTATCTGCTCTCTGTGTTCTTCAGCTTCTCCACAAAACATCAATTCAGAAGAGTCCTGAATGCTGTCACTACTGTCCAACAATCTTAATAGTGATGTTTGCATTCCTTGCTTTTATATCTCTTTTTCTTCATTCACTGAGTCCATAAGAATCAAAGATGAAAAAGGGGTTGCTTATGCTATAAATTTCCAATTTATATGTCTTGTTTCTCTGTGTCAGTAGAAACTACCATCTTCATCCAAGCTATTTCAGGATTGGCTTCTTAACAGCTGCCTTCCTCCCACGCTTACCTTTTCTGCTGGCTTGGGATCCAAGTCTGCACTTCGGACTATATTTGTCAAGAAAATTCCTTTAGACAGACAAGTGGCAAGCAAAGCAGACTATATGCAGGACCAAGATGCACACAATTGTGTCTACCTTTCAAGGAGCCTGACTCCACATTCCTTACTCACTGATGGAAATGTTTTCTTTTCAACTATCATCTCTCCTGCACTTAGGTTGTTTAATTACAGCATGAAAACATTAGGCATATGTTTAATTTACAGTTATTATCAGTGTCATTTCTTGTTTGGTTTATGTTTCATACAGGTTCTTTTTTAAAAAAAATTACCATTCTGTTTTGACGTTCCAGGTTCTGCATGTTTTGTTCTACGCTCTTGCCAGTGCTCTGTGGGTGTTTGGACTCTGGGAATCATCTAGACTAAATGCCTCATTATTTGCCTCTCTATCTGTCATATTGTTCAACACTGCACTGCTTCAGGTGCAGTACTTAAATGTTCTGGCCTTCAGAGTCAGAGGGCGCTATTTTGACTAATTATAAGAATCTTTCAGGTGGCATGAAAGATTTATGCTATTCATGCTCTTCCTATTCTGCTATGTTGCCACATTCCTTTGTACCTTTCTTAGTAAGTGCTAAACACTAGTTATTGATTAAGAACTTTTGCTTCAACATCTTTCATTTATTTCTCCACTGTCGACATGGTCCCAAGGTGTAGGAAAGTACTTGGCTGACCTGCTGTTGTCTTAAAGGTTTCTGCAATACCCAGAATTTCTAGCTCTGAGCAACTCTATGAACCTACAGGGCATATATATGAGACCAGCATTCATAGAAATAGCAGGCTTGACTCAGACTTACTGTCATTAGATTAAAGAGGTGAATCTTTTGCTAAAGCTGTAACTACATGATTATATTTCTTTACAGGGTTGATTTTTTTTTTTTTTACCCTCCATGTTATTCCTCCAGTTTAAAGTGAACTTCATGTTGGTCAACCTTTCTTTAGTTTTGTCATACACCAAAAAAAGGACAACAAAAAGGGGAACAAATGCTTGTTCACTTCATGGTCCTTGAGTACACACAGTACATGTTGCTTCATCAAAACCATCAGAGTAGTACCATCCTTCTAAAGTGAGGGCTGTGCATACAAACTTTGACTTTTGTGCTAGTCAATGACTAGAAGCAAATGCAGAAATGAGTATGCTAAAATTCCTGGGAGTTTCAAAAACAGGTTGCTGCTTCTAATAGGGCAAGTTGATTGACTCTCACTACTTTAGTATGGCTTACTGTATCTGATACCACCTGATCTTGAGCAGGAGTATAAATGCTGATGAGACAGCTGTGTCAAAAACAATAAAAAATCTGTCTCAGGGTCTGCATAGATTCTCAGTTGCTCCAGTTCATTACATTGTCCAATTATACCCCTTCAGATCCTTTCTTCTTGGTTCAGTAGGTGGAGCTGTAACACGTTTAAATTTTTCCTCGGCCAAGATGTACCGTTGCAGGTGCACTGACAAGCACAGCTTTTGGTTCCCAGCACTGCACATATTTATCCATTTTATACAAGTTGGCATTTTGCATCATTTTGAAATTGCACATAAAAAGGAACCTCAAGTTCTATGCTTATTCTGCTTGTTTCTGGGAAAAACCATCAGTCTCCATTTCTAATATGCACTTTTCAGATTTTGGATAGCTGTTTTCCACTGTTCAAAACAAACAAACAAACAAACAAACAAACAAACAAACAAAAAAAAACATGTTTAGGCTCAATTTTAATATTCTGGGCTTTGGGAAAAAATAATCTCTAACATAATAAATTTTGCTTATTTTGCTAGTTCCTGGTTTGAAACAGACTCTTTGAAACAACTGAGAATTCATGAAATCATTCTCATTAATTTTTTTCAATTTTAGGATAATATCAAATCCACTGTCATTTGTTAGTTTTCATGTTCTCAAGTAGTTTACACTTTATAGTGTCAATAAAAGCTTTTTAAATAACAGGAAGCTATTATATAAGTGGATATTTCTGATAATTTTTGCAAAATTGCTCTTAAAAATTCTGTGCTACTGAAAAAAAGAAGAGCCTGGTAATGAGACTAATTCACTCTTCAAATGTAACAGCATCATTTGAACATTGTCACATCATCTCAAATCATTCTTAATTCTAAAAACCCTTTCCCATTTCAATTTTCTGTGGAAAGTTCTCTGTAAAAGCAATGAGAGTATCCAAATTAATTTTAAAGATCACAAAATTGCTATTTCTTTTTAGAGAAGAGCTGTCTTGTACTGATCTCCTGTATGCAAAATTATCTTAATGGTATCTTCTTTCATCTTAGTATTCTCCCTTGAGCAGTTTGAGTGCTTTCTAGTTCTCTTTAGTTGCAGCTAAATATTTCAAGCAGGCATCAGAAACATTACAGATTGCCTCCTTTGAGTTCCAAGAGCTTCTTTGATGGGGGCTCGTGACATCCTTTTGCAATGCACCATATAAACCAGCAGTTCCTAACCTTTGTCTTTATATTTTATTTTTCATAGGAGTTTCTAATGACCATGACTTTCTCCTTCTCTGCCCATACACTCTCCCATCCCTTGATGCACGGCGAGGCTGCTGCAGTGAGTGTCTCCAGCCTTGGTCCTTCATCCTTGTCCTGTCCCTCGGGCATACTGTGTTTCCAGGGGCAGGTCAGAGAAATGGAGAAAGGAGGATCCATTTGCAGCTTTAACACCTCTCTTGGCTAGCCTGTGTTGCCATTTCCACAGTTAAAATGCCCAGCAGAGCTCAGCAGAGCTCAGCATCTTGTGCTTTGCTCACAAGTTTACCCTATACATTGACATGTCTCCTTACTAAGGTATCAGCCAGAAACCACTAATACAAACAAGGACTACAAAAGAGGCAGTCTTTAATAAAATACCTGCTTTTTCCTGTTAGCTCTTGTACAAGCTTTTTCATGGTCTTTAACAGTCTGCAACTGTATATTTACGTTCAGCTTGAAATACAGCTGTCCCATTTGGAAAATGTTATTATCGATACTGGTGTTATCCAAGACACTTTATTTGTCTAATCAGCCGAGTTGTCAGGTTGAATTAGCAAACCCATTTGTATGAACCACAGAACAGCTTGTGGCTGTGGTGTGTTTGTTTATGATATTTATTAGGTATGCATACTGGATAGTTTGGATGGAGACATTAAGGTTCCTTTGCTACAGTCCTATGCCATTCAAAGGCAAATAAGTCATCCTTTTGAAAACGGTACTGCAGAGATGAGAAGAAACTTGTGGATTCTACACTGGCACTGGGTGGCGGACCATATTTTGAAGAACTTATTTAACGTTGCAAATAGCAGGTGCTATGCATTGTAGACCCATGAGTTATTGCTTTGTCAGAAGGTAAGTTAATCAAAACTGTAGTAATCCATTACACAGGCCTTAATGTTTTAAGAAACACTGTATGTGCTTGTAATGTCTTGAGCAATCTGTAAAATCCACCCTTTGAAGAAAAGGTTATAACGATTTACTGTACTCCTTCATAGGATGCATCCCTTCCTCTCAATCATCAGTAAAAAAAGGCTAATGAAGTTAAAAGGCAAAAACGTAGCTGAAGATTGATCTGCAGTATCAACCTGCTGGCATTATTTTGCTGCATTGTGTGCATTCTCATATCGCTGTTTAGTATGTACTTGTAGTTTACAAAGGCTAGCTAAGCTTATAATTACCAATAAAATTCAGTAGTGTTTTATTGTCTATCTTCACACTTTGTTCACAGACCTCTATACTTGCAGACTTTAAGACTGTTTAAAATCAGCATCGATAGTGATGAGTGATCACTATTTAGGGATACCTTATTTTAAAAAGAAACTTGCTTACCAAGCGAGACTACAGTGATTGCTCATTGGTAAGCGCAAGAGGGGAGAGAGTGATTCAGTGTAAAGTATAAACACAAAATGAAAATATCTAAATATATTAGTTTGTCATACAGTTCTGTACATTTTCAGTTAAAAAAATAAAGGCAAACTTTTCCATTTGATCAACTGATTTCTCCGTGGCAATGGACCTGAATTTTATTAGCAGCAGTAAACAACTGCTTTAAAAGGAGGATATTCTCCTTCCTGTGAAAGCACATTTATTTCCTTCTCTCATTCCCAATCACTTTTCCAATCCTTATTAAAAAAAAGGCCAAAACAAAACTCAAAATACCTCTCCTTGAAATGTGCATGTGTATATGTATATGTGTGTGTGTGTGTGTATAGACATGTATAAATTGCAAATAAACGTGTTATTACTTTGGCATTACAATTAAGAATTGAATTCCAAGCTTCCTAGAAGACAGAATTGGAAAGCAATTACTCTCAAGTGAACCAAAATACATTTTCATTATTCCCGCACCGTCTGGAAGCCATGAAATCCTGTCTCTGGGAGGCAGCCATCTTTTCATCTGTACCTATCCAGGCCTGCTATCCCATCTCCCTGCACTTCCCCTCTTGCTTTTGTCAAAAAGATTCAGTAGCCAGCCTGCTCCTAAGGAATATGTTGGGTTTCTTGAACAAGTATTTTCTGTTCGTTGCAGAATGCATTATTTGCTACTCTTCCCGCACCTCTAGGTCTGCAGCCGAACTGTATGCTGTCACTTGAAATGGAGTTATTGTGAGACGCCTTGTAACACGAGTGGGTGAGTATGCTGCTGACTCCAAGAAACCTCTGAGTAATTTTTGTTAGGGTTGTGCATGTGGCTGAGGCTCGGAGGGTGATCCACAGGGGCTGGAGCCAGGTTTGGCACCAGGCAGCTCACACTGACAGGTGCCTCCAGGCGCTTTAGCCAGTGCCCTTGGTTGCTGTGCATGCCTGCAGGTCAAAAAGCACTCAACATCTCACAGATGCGAGACTAATGATTTTTAAATCTAATATGGCCAAGATTTCATGCCAATTATCAAATGAATGTTCCTATTTCCTGTAAAGATGTGTTTTATAGTACTCTCAGCTACACTTTGACTACTTGATGCAGGCTGTCTCGGTGAACAAGCTGTAAAAGGAGTTAAGTGCCAATTAAAGCGCTGCGAAGAACCTCTTTTGCATGAATCAGTGAGGCACTGTAGTGTGCATAATATCACTTATACAAATTCTGAATTTTTGCCTTTCATTTCCAATATGCTGCAGCAACACCTGGTTTATAGGACCCTGGCCATTCCTGTGCAAAGTCAACAATGGCATACTTTTGAAAAACCATTCTGTTTATTTTTAGTGTAATTGTTCCAAACCATATTAAGAACAAGCTGAATGAAAGGTTCTTGACAATTACCCCACTGGCACCTCTAAAGATCAACTGAATAGTTTGCTGTTAATTACATATTTACCGTTACCAAGGTGGAAGTATTTAGTAGCTTTGGGATCAAATTCTGTCAATCCTCCAAGAAAAGATTTTAAGCAATTGAGCTGATTATACTTCCCTAAGTTTACATCCACTGCATTTTTTATATTTCCTTATGTTTAAATGAGTTGTATTGTGGGAGACAACAAATAAATGGGGTTTTTTCCACTTACTTCTTTCTACCGTTTCCTGTCTCCGCGTGCGCACAGATTTGAATTCTCTCTGCATTTTCTCTAGGGGGTGATAACAGCAAGGCTTTTTCCCTCTGCAGATGTATGTGACTTTACTGAGTTAATGAAAACATGAAAGAGGAGGACCAGCAGTAGACACAGGTAGGTGAACGATTGCTAACCACTGAACCTAAATTACTTTCTAAATTATATTTTTGACAGTGTTCACACTTAGTAGTATTTGGAAGATGTCTGCCATTTCTAACTATGTTCTACAGTTTATTTTATATTTACTTGTCAAAGTCATTTGTTTTATTTCTTCTTTTTTTTCTCATTTTCTCATCTTACAGGACTGATTTTGCTTTTTATTTTGTCTCTGTAGACACTAAATTCATTCAAGAGGCCAGCATCAGGGAATGCTGCTGCTGCTTTCAGCTTCATCTCCTCCACTGAAAGGTGGAAGCAAAGGCTTGTCAGCCTTTTAAACTTACTTTGATTCACTTTCCAGGGTGCAAACAATAAGTAGAAACACCAAGTCAACTTTCAGAATAAGACTTAGCTTTTCAAGCAGCATGAGATCCAGGCCATTTTCTCTTTTACAGGAGGATGTAACTTGCTCTGTTTTACCTCATGCAAAATTAAGTTTATTTTCCTTTTCCTTCCCCTGACAAAATAGACTGCTCAAGTTGTATTACTATCTGTGCATGAAAATGCAGAAGAAATGTGTCAGAAGCTTGAAGAGAAATAAAGACATGATGCAAAATATGAAAAGATTGGTTCCTTTATCTAAGGGACAGAAAAAAAATGCTCTGGGATAATTGTAATGCATAAATGAAAGCAATATCTAAAATGCTGGTTCCCTTTGTTAGAAACATTGAAGAAAAATTCCTCCGTGCCTGGGAGATTCAATCAAAGCTGTGTCAAAGTAGGTGTTCTGGAGCCCCTGTGTGCAACTGAGCCACTTGGGCAGCAAGGGTGGAACACACAAAGCTGCTGGTAGTCTATAAAACCAGGGGGTTTTGAGAGGAATATTCTGCTGTTAGACTGCAGGTAGTATTTTCCTGTACTAGTTTCTGGGTGCAACTTGCATTTGCTTCTTTGCGACTTCCTGTTAAAACAGTTTGGCTCGTAATTCCTAATTTTAGGAATACTTGTATCCATTTAGTGTATTCTTTTGGAAAACATGAAGGAAACAGAGAGCCTGGATTGTCTTCCCTGGACAGATCATCTTCAGAGTAGATCTTGAATATCCTTGGGAATACCAGATGAGGATACCAGTATTCTGTAGGTGCACTCAGCCCGTTTATCTCCTCCTAAGCCCAGCTGTGACTTTCTATTCTCTGGAAGAAAAACTGAAATCAAAAGCTACCTCAGTTATCTGTTAAAAACTCTAATTATCCTCTGTTTCAGCCAAGTGCTTTGACTTTTCATCTTCAAGATTGCAGTAGAAAATTCTTTTGTGGCTCATATTCTCTCTATCAGTTACCAGTATTCAGAAGCCCCTGACTTTTTTTTGTTATCAGAGAGGGTAGGTTTGTATTTTTTTTCTTGGTTTTGCTCTTATTTTCTCTCTCACATTTACAGTCATTCAATGTCAATGAAAAAATTCTTTCCAAATAGAGCTTGGCAATGGCCATTAAACTGGAAGTATCTAAAGTATTTTTAAAAAAATTTAAAAAACTAGTCTGTTCATTTTTCACTGTCTAGAAAGTTAAGTCAAAGAATTTCTATCAAATATTTGGAATAAATGTAGAGAACAGGATTTAGGGTGGATATTTCATTTATAACAACAGCTGTGTAATCAGAATGCATGAAAAATTACAACCCAAAAAGAGGGCACAATCTTATCAAGTATTTATCTTTTTTTTTTTTTTTAATAATTAGACCTTGCTCAAAAACTTATTTGTGCTTTTCCAGGAAACAGCAATTTTTGTTGGTGAGAGGACATTTTCTAACATTTGAGATATCTAAAATTTTATACCAGGAGACCTAAAAAGGAAGTAACTTGGTCTTTCCTTTTTCAAAGTCATCCTGCCTACAAAGTGTTTACTCTTGATTATGTTATTTTGAGTTAGGGTTTTTGCCTGGGCAAGATAAAAGCAGAGATAACATCTCTGTTACTTTTCCAGACTCCAAAGGGTTTTCCTTTCTCCCCTCTGCAACACATTTTGAGGTTCTTGCCTTATTCACCGTTCCAAGTGCTTTGGGTTTCAGCTAATTTTCTTCAGATTCAAAGCTGGTATAATAGTTATGAGGGGTGTGCCTTTAGAATTAATGTGGACAACTCAAACTAAGCAGACTTTTACTGAGAATTAAGCCCCTTGGTGGCATCCACTCAATATATTGATTGTGCCCATTGGAAGGGCAAAGCAATAAGCAAGTCTCAACCACTTGGCCCAGACGAACAGGGTTTCCTTGATTCTTGTTTTTACTGTTTTATTGGGCTTTTTCTCTCTAGATGTTATTGCTAATCCATTAAACATACTTGGTAAAGTAGAAGGGAAGCACAGGGAGAGAGCACAGGTCAAAAACAGTACCAGTGGCAATTTCCAGATAATTTTTCCATGCTGAGCATAAATGGTAACCAGAGAACTGATGTGCTTGCTGTGCAGCTGTCACCTTGTCTAGGAATATATGTAGGGACAAAGACCAGTAAATGCCCTGACACCTCTTAAGAGGCATATTTTGTGTAGAAGGATATTAGCAATTCAAAAGCTAAACTGGGATCTAAGCAAGGTCATTGGCTGGTCAGACAGTTTATTTTTGACCTAAGCAGTGTTTAATTTAAGAAGCAGAAGGACTGGGATAAGTAGGTACAAACCTAAAAGGGCAGCTGGGTGATGTTGAAGCTGAGTCATCCTAAAGGGCAACCCATTGGTACTCTCACCCAAGAGAGAAGAAAGGTGAAGACCAGAATGATAGATAGAACACCCTCCCCAACACTATAATGCTTCGTGTCAGTGAACTCAAGCCATTTCTGTGCCAATAGGAGGGAAAGAAAAAAAGGAAAGGCAAATAGAGAACGATATAAATTTTAAATAAAACCTGCCTATGTATACATGCAAATTAGCTGAAACCCTTGGTGTGTCCAACTAAAAGGAATGTTTTAAAAATTGTAATCTGTTTTCTGTAAAATTTCTTAATTCCAGTATGTATTACAAATATATGCAGTGTGAATAAAATCTAAGTTGTCTCATAATATCTCAGGAGGGAAACTAATGAACAATCTTAGTATGGCTTTCTTATAAATAAAACATGCTACTCTGTTTTGTTTAGGGTTTAAGTCCTCAGCTCTGTGCTAGTGGCTGGAATAATTAGGTTCTTTTTTGAAGGTCATGATTTTTTTTTTAATATAAACATGAATTTGTCACTTTGGAAAATAAACTTTCTTCAGTTTTAGTGAATATTTTTTTTCCATAGTTTGAACCTCTTGGATATCCCTGCTCTGTTTCTTGTCAAGTCTAGTTTCCTCATCCTACACTAGCATCAAAAGTGTGCTTTTGGGGAGGAGCTTTTGTCTGCCTCAGAAGAGTTGCTGTCTTTTCTATTTCAGCTTAGGTTTCCCTGATAGCCCTCCCTCTTCTACCGTAGGCACAAAGGTGCTGTTGCAATACTTAAAAGCAGTATCTAATAGATCAGGTGTGACAGAACTTCCCTAAACCTCTGTAAAAAGCTTTTTGCCCAATTCCCTCCTGAAATATCATTGGTGTTTGACAGATTTGTGTAGCTATAAAAGCTCTCAATTGCTATTATTACACAAGTCTCTGAAAATATATTGATAGGCTTAAGTCTCCATATTTCTGATTCCACCTACTAAACAGACCCCAGGCTATATCTCTGGCTGACTATCTTTCTCCTTTTGTACAGATTCATCTGTTAGTTTGACTCTGGAAAAAAAAAAATTGTCATTGTCTTGGCCTCAACACTAGCTGGGGAAAAAAGGGGGAAGGAATAAAATACTTCCAGTGCTCCAGTGTTTGAACCACAAAAGCTGAAGTGGGTACCTGCTTACTTCATCACTCATTTTTGAAAATGGAGAGTCACCGAAGCATGAACTGAAGCAAGCAGGTAATCTGTTGTATGAAGGGAGATGTAAGTTTGATTTCTGATAGTATTTTGTGCAACTTTCATTCTCTTTTTCCTTCCATTGGCCTCTTTTTGCTGTGGTGTTTAATTTACCAGTGGTTAGACATAAACAAACCACTTGTTCTGAGTCGGTGAGCTCAGGTCTTTGGGATCCTGTGAAGCCTGTGTTCTTGTGCAGTGCATGAGAACCAGCTTCTGGTAACTTCTCCACAACTCTGAACTGCTCTGGGAGACTGGACACCTGGGCCAAGCACAGACTCTGATATCAGGGACAGAAATGTGGAGCGAAGAAGAAGGTGCTGCTGATTCTTTTAGGCTGCAAATGCCTATGGGAGGAGTACTATGGCTTGTCTGGTTGTTGCTTATAGGATTTAGAAAACTAGTGATAGTTTCTGAGTTGCATGGATCACCTCAAAGGTAATTTGGCTCTGGCAAAGAATAAAAGTAAGCAAAAGTCCCTATTTCTAAAGACGCACTGAGGATCACAGCTAACCTGGTCAGATGTGAGAGGCAGAATGTGACAATATTTTAAGAGGAGATGGGCTGGATCAGGTTAATGAGCCACTGGGTCTGCATTCGCAAGGAGCAAGGGTGGTAATTGCAGGGGAAGCGTGTGCTGTCATTAGCATTTTCTGCCTGTCTTCACCCCACTGTGCTGCTCAGCAGTTTGGACTTCTTGTGCTGAACCCAACTACCTGGATCATGACATCCAGACAACTGGGCATTCAAGTCTATTCACCTGGGATCAGAGTAGAATTTTCAGCAGCTCTCGATGAGCTTCAGACCTAGAATAAGAAAACAAGTTATACCCATGTGTGCCATCTATTCTTATCAATTTTTCCTTTACTGTGTGCTCCACATGTTTCACCAAAACAAAATTGTCTCTTCATTCTTCTGTTCATTTTGTTGGGCACAATGAGAGGATGAGAAATATTTTCTGGAAGTTCACTCAGCTCTGTATTTTTTTGACAATAAGCTTCCCTTTCCCCTGTGATCTTGAGATTCTCAACAATTTATTTTCCAAACCTAAATGCCAGTGGGTAAGTTTATAATTTTTTTGAAGTTCAAATATGTAGAATTTAAGCCCTCAAATTAAGTATACAAAGCATTTACATATTTTGAGGACTGCATTATTATGTGCTTTGATATCGACATGCCTATTAAATTGATGAGAACTCCTTAAAATTGTATTTTGAATGCTTCAGTAAAGTTTTCTGGAACTTAAATGCATCTGCGTTCAGAAACCTTGCCTGATCTGCCACTGTTTTTCATCATAGGAGACTAGAATATATTTAGCTTCAGGAAAAATGATTTAGTTAAAATGTAATTTGAAAGCTCCCATGGCACTGGGGACTTTTTTAGGAGCATATTTTACAAATTGATGCTAAAGTAGCTCCTTTTACTTACAGCTGTATTTTGGAGTTTGGGCAGGCGGGAATGGCTTTCATTTTAAAAAGTATTTGAGGACCTCTGCTTCTTTTGAACAGGTAAGATGCCAAAAAGCTGTTCATAGGTAAAAAGAAACACATTTCTTCAGAGTGCTCTACTAACCACACATCTCCATTTCTATTTACAGACCAGGCACTTAAAGCATGTCTTCAAATTATAGGTATACAGGAGTTCACAACTTACCTAGTAGAGTTTAATGATGAAAAAATGCTTCCTGTGCATTTAGGGATTTTCAGAGGACTTAGCAGAAATGAAATAATCAATCTCACTGCAATCCTTGTATCAGATAGGTAGTTAATTGAAAAGAGACAGTCCTGATGCTTTTTTGGCCACTGGAAAAAGCCCTTGAAGGGCACCATTATGTCACTCAGGCCTGTTTTCCAGCAACTACCTACTCCAGTTAGCCTCCTGTCCACGTGTGCTTCTTGATATAGATAAAATTTGTTTCCCATATGTACATTCTTCAACTGCAAACTCTGAAACTACTCAAACATGTTGCACAGGCACAGGATAACTGGCTGATTTTTGTTTGGTTTTGTTTTTTCCTCAAGCCCAAAGGAGGTAGCTTCATTCCGGAACATGTTTAGTTTGTAGGTGACAAATGGTCTGTGAAAGCCTCAGAGGCAACTCAGTATTAATGAGGCCAGGCAGCAGAAGTCCCCATTGTTGCTCAGTGTGGTGAGCCAATATAATTGGAACTGTATAAAGTGAAACAGAGTTAGAATTTAGCAAGGTAATACACCCAAAAAGTCATAAAAATAAAGTGCCTTGCCTCTGCTCTTTCCAGCACTTTGAGAATATACTGCTGCTCTCTCATTTGCTCCTTTCTACATATGCTTTATTTCTTAAAGCTCTCTTACTTTGTCTTGCATCTTTGCCTAAAGATTGTGTCAATGTTTTGTAAGGGCTGATTTGCTGATTTAATTATTGTCAGTTTTTGTTTGGTCACTTCCAAAGAGACACAAGAGAGGCTGCAGCGGTTTGGAGCGTTGTAACATACCAGGACTCATTACTTCAAGAAAAGACAAATAGTGGTAAATTTTTTAATCTAAGTCTAACCATCTAAATCTAGCATTAGCCATGATTCTGAATTAACTCCCTAAACCGTTTTTACAAGTCCTATTTTACAGAAGTGCATCCCATTAAAGTTGTCTCACCCTTCCTTGGGCATCAGGGGCATTCAAGCCTGGACCCTTTATAATAGACAAATAATAGGTGAATGAATATAATGAATAGTCGAATAATATAATGCCTTTCTAATAGGAAACTAATCCCATGTCTCAGTTTATCATAATACAGTTAAACAAGTACAGCACAAGTCATTCTGAAGAAGACAGATGTTCCAAATCAAAATTTAATAAGAAGTGTCTTCAAGGAAAACCTCTGTAACAAGGTAGGCATTTTTTCCTCTCAGTGTCTCTGAAATACAGTATTTTCTTGATTAAATTTTCTGTTTTCATGAAGGAGAATACTGTAATAACAGTAAGAGTGAAGAACGTGACATTTCAATTACCTTTACAGTTACAAAGGAAAAAGACACAGACGGTGTACGAAATTTTAAATTCCTCTATCTCAGATATGTTCCTCTACTTCAGTGTAGAGTGAGAAATATCAAATTTTCTTTATCCATTAGATACGTATATATTCATACACTGAAGATTGCAAAATTGTTACAGCAGAACTGAACATTTCACTTGCATTTGCACTTAATGCTCAGCCTGGATTAGTGCCAGACAGGTCTCCACTGTGACACAGAAAATCTATTGAAAAATATTCAGTGAATAGGGCTGGCCAAAATTTGCCTTAGATCATCAGAACCTCGTTCTGCGCCACTTCCAAACAGCATGCAAGGTATTCATTTTCAGATTTGGAAAGACATGATGACTTGAATAAATAAATAAAAGGTCCTAAAATTTAATATCTCTCTGACTTCCTTAGGGCACTTCAATTCAAATGTAACTGATCACCTTCTAGGGCAAATCCAGTGAAACAAGAAGTTAGCCAGGGCTGAAGCCATCTAGAGTTGCTTCTTCCACAAAAGTAGGACAATTCTTTGTGCATTCCTGAGAACTTCTTTGACACTGAAAGTATTGGCATTCAGTAAAATGCAAATGAAAGCCAGCAATGTGAATTGCAATATGACACTTTGACAGTAGTTTACTGTTAGTCATTTAAGTATCTTTAAGGTATTGGACTGATAATTAGAAAAATATTGATTTCTGTCACACAGAAAGCAACACTTAGAAAATATTCTGCTCACTTTATTACTGCTTAAGTCATACTACAGGCCCTACACAAGAACAAATTAACTTAGTTTTGGACAAAGTAGGAAGCAAAAGAGTGTAAACATTCAAACACTGCTAAATATCAATGAACTCACAGAATCTGCACCAGGAAAGACAAATCACATGGTTGACTGGTTTTGTTTTGTTTTTAAATTTGGATGGGTGAAGGAAGGAAATTATTATTGTTTTGAATAAAACATATTGATTATGCAAAATGCTGTCACAGAATGGCCTCTGTAAGCACAATTGTATCTACATATCATTACCCTTACATTTTTATTAAGGGCAAAAGAAGAAACATGTTATGTGTAATGCCAAGAATATAAGTCCAAATGGAATCTTAAAAGTCGAATTAAATAATATTTATTTACCCCACATGAAGTCATTATGGAAAAAGAAGAAGTACTTTAAAGAAAAAGTGTAATTAGATAGAGTTGTCATACACATACTTCCTAGTATCTACTACTTTTTCTGATATTATGCTCTGTCTTCCAATGCCCTTTGGGGTCCTAGCATTGAAGGTTTCAGAAAGAAGAGGGAATCATGCAGCTCAAATCTTCACCTATGAGGAATATATTGTTGATTTCTCCCTTCTCATCTTAGGAGCTTCTGGAGGTAATACTTCTGTGTTTGTTAATGTGTCAGACTCCTTGCTTACTCTTTACTGATTAGTTCATGGTGCAACAGAATTTCCTATATAAGTTGTATTTCACACAAGTTGGATACTTGTTCTCTGTTCTCTTTGTACCTCTAAATGAGGTTTTGCTCAGCTCTGAGTCTTCATTTCTTCAACTGACCATCAGTGAGTTATATATAATGCTGGGGCCTCCCATGCCAACCTACCACCCGTCTCTTACCATCCCACGCCTTCACGTCTCTAGACCACCTTCTCTGTCCACACTTTCTGAGGTCTCTCCTGTCATACCATGTCTTCGACAGAAGAATATCTGTAAAAACTATTATTGTCCTGTACAAAGAGGAGCAAAAATAAAGTAAATTAGGCATAAACACCTGGTCATTAGAAATATTGCTATCAAAAAGCAAAGCTGGGAAATTGCAGGCAGCTCGAAAGAAGTTGAGAAAAAGTGTACTTGACAAGCTGCTCTCCTGAGGCCTTGCAAACTCAACACTGCTGCTAGCATGGCTATACAGTGTGTACTGGATGCCAGGGCTTGTTGCAACCCGCCCCAGAAAGGGGAGGGTAACCCAGGTTCTTATTAATAAATCCCTTGGGGTGGATTAGAGTGAAACAACACTGAATAACTGGTGTTTGTAAACCTATATATGTAGGGTTTATTTTAGAACAATTTTGTTTCCAAGGTAAAAAGGTATGTTGCCATTTTGGGTGTTATCATTCTACAGCAAAACAACATCTATATGTATGTTACCATCTATACAGCAATATAGCAACGTTAAAGCATAGCAATATTAAAGCATCTATAGCAATAAAGCAATATTAGAGCATAGCAATATAGCACTATTAAAGCATGACAATATTAGAGCATCTATGCAATATGGCATTGTTAATACTAAAGCATCTGTATATTAAAGCATAACAATATAGCACTATGAAAGCATAGTAGGATTAAAGCATCTATGACAATAAAGCATTGTTAAAGCATAGTATCTATAGCAATAAAGCATAAAGGTAACACTTAAGGAAATGCATAAGGGAGAGAAAAGGAAAGAAAGGATAAGGGTGGAAAGAAGTATATAGTCACCACCCACTCCATGCAGTGATGAAACTCGATAGCTGCAGCTTCTATGTTTGTTGGTTGAAGTGGTGGTCTGTCGCTGTAGGAACGGACTGCGACACAAAATATCCAGCAAGAAAGTTTATTCCAAGAAAAAGGCAGGTGCAGAGCTGCTTTTACAGCCCCTTAAGTACAGGTTTTTTGGCATACGTATTCCACACGGATAGGTTAACTTAAACACACAAACTAGAATTCTTACAGCTGATAGGTAGACTTTCTTAGTTCTACTTTCTCACAACAATCCTGCATATCTGTTCTTGCTTTTCTTCAATGTTTATATTTTTCTCAACCACACTGTTCAAAACAGGTCCTTGTTCTCATGAGACAGTGTTCCTTGTTCCCACAGGACAGCTCTCTCCCGCTGCCCCTCTGCTCTCTCAGGGTGCATCAACATGTTGTCAGGACCAAGGCCTCCATCTTCAGTCACCCTCTCGTTCCATCTCAGGGGCTCGGTCCAGCCAAAATTCCCCACAGTGGTCTTGGTCCACTGGGCCTGGGGGAAGCCCCACACACAATATTAGAGATGTTATGAGTTATTATACACTTCCAGGTCAGGTGGGAACACCTTGTACCTCCCCGGGGAGGGGAGTTTTACAATGGATGGTGTCACAGGCCAGAGGACAGTTGCAGCTGCTTATTTTGCCAGCATCAGTAAACGGTCCAACATTTGAGATGCATAGCCCAGGCTAGATGAGGACATTGGCATGAGAAAAGGCATTTATCTCGCCTTGCAGGACTTGTCTCTTCTTAGCCTCTTCCTTTCCTCAGGCAGGCATCTGCACCAAGGATGGCTGGACAATGGCACCCACTTATCTGATCTGAAGGTCCTTTAACAGTATTCAGGGAGGAGTGGGCTTTGCTGGGTGAGCAGCTGCTTCTTTTCGTTTGCAAAAGTCTTTTGGTGATCTCAGAATGTGTAAATCATTAACTGTTTCAGTCTCTGACAGGGCTACTCTACACCAGCTATGAAGTTATATATGTTGTCTTCCTTAGTAATGTGATCCCAGTTAGGGACATCACTCTTGGAAACGTTTTAGAACTACTTCAGCTAGTTTTTTATATGTCATGTCATTTCTATGGTACCATATTTTCTCTCCTTGAAGGATTTATGGTCCCAGTTCCTGACTTTTTAATGAGAAGGCTGACAGCAGGTTTCAGTCATTCCTACTGTGGTTGGACCATCATCTCTCACATTTCAAGTCAAGGCACTTCATCTACCCTGAATGTTACCCATTCTGGGATGTGGAGGCAATTCAGGAAATATGAAAAGCAGACCCCTCTGTGATGGGCTAGTCTGAAGAGTTGCTATTGTTTTTAACAACAACCGTTTGCTTGTTATTGTCTTGATATGTTGAATTAATGCCAGTTCCAAGAAATGATTAGTCATGAAGGATGCGGTTAAGTATCCAGAAGAAATCAAAAAATGGGGCACAGGGTTAGACAATCAGGTCTCCATTTACCATAATTTGGTAACTACTTTCTCTGGTTGCCCCCAATCTATGTCTTATATTGAGAGCTCAAACATATTCTTCTGGTGTAGAAAGGAAAGGATCTAAGGACTTGTGCAAAAATTCCCAGGGCCTGGGAGGAAACTAGTCTTTCAGTTCATCATTTGAGTCCTTTTGATGTAGTTTTTCTTCCATTAGCTACCTTCAGTGCTGCTACAGTAATAAATCACATCAAGTAAATGTACCTCTAGAAAGTAAATGCTGAATTACTTTTTGTGTTTGTGATTTGCTCTGTTATTGTGCAAATATACTGTTATACACATATGTATGTAGCTATAGAGAATAGAACACATAGCATCTTTTTGCAAGCCACAGCTGACAGCAAGTTTCCTAGGATAAGTTCACTCTCAAGACCTAATAATAGGGCATGGTTTTGTTCCATCTCTGCAAACAAACACCAAACATTGATGGTATGTATGTTCCTATTGGACCCAGCCTAACAGTGAAGTTAAACACCTGAGTCACCCCACTCTTTCTCTCATGTTCATGGTTTCAGTTCCCAGGGCCTCATCCTAGTGAGGGCAAATGGATATGTGACTGAGAGCCAGGCATCTTAGTGGGATGTTATAAAACTGTTCTGTGTGTGAAGCAGTGGAGACACACATCCCAATTTCATTCCACGGAGAGAGCTGGGGACCCTTTTCTTCTCGTTGGGGACCTGCATGCAAAGTTCTAGTCTGAAAATTAACTTTGCAAACAAAACTTCAAATGAAGCCTTGCTTCTGGTTCCTGTACTAATAGAAACAGTGACAAGGAAATGTTGCTGTCCATGTGATGCTCAGCCAGATTCTTCCCATTGGTACTCTCTTCTGCTTGTATGATTTTAGCACAGTCTTCACAATAAAGTGGATTTTACCTGCCTTTAGTGCAATTAACATCTAGACTTTTTTTCAGATCTGGTAAGCAGTGCTAGTATACATCCAGTGCCTGTCTCTAAGCAGCATATGCTTCCTGACAGCTAAAATTAAAAATGCCTATTTTATCATTTGATGTTAACAGGAATGATGTGGAGTGCATTCAGAGAAGGGTCTATTGTATAAAACAAAGCCTTTCTTCTAGTCACTCCGGAGAATGGCACTGTATGAGAATAGTCCTGTACCTTAAATCTTAAAGATAACTTCTTGCCAGGTAATGCAAGATAATGATAGCACATAATATTCTTCTCTTGCTGCTTCTTTCTCATGTATTGATTTGCTCTATACTGTAGGTGTGATAGACCAGGGTGCTTATCCTCTATTCCTCTGAGCACTTTGAAGAAACTACTACATTTGTCAAATGACAAAAAGAATCATCTTATGAGAGTCAATTGAGAGACATCAAAAGCCACTGGAAAATCTGCAGTCCCAGGTGTGCTGTTACTTGAAGATTATCCAGCTTTCGAGTCATCAGTGGTTAGTCTTTGAAAAGTTCTGGTGAACTCAGTCCGGATTTGAGAACTGAACACTGGATTTTTTTGTTTGTTTTCTGGGCTCCCTTCCCTCCCTATTGCTTGGGAAGAACAGATAAAAAAGCAGCGTGGTTAAAGGGATTATGGGCCACATGGTACTTTGTCCCGTGGCAGCTACTGGGTTACCATTGCCTAGTTAAAGGTTATTTAATTGAACACACTTTATAAAAAATAATTTTAAAAAAAATTAAAAAAAAATCTCTAAATCGGCCTATTTTTCACATAAAATATTCTGACCATACAGGCATTAAAACAATGATGCTAACATTTAGGGTAGGAGTGTTTTTTGAAGTTTCTCTTAACTCGGGGTTTTTCAGATAAGCACTAGGAACCTGGAATCAGCTGCTCTAATCTCTTATCCAAGTGCAATGTAGACACTAATAACTCTTGAAATATTTATAATGTTTGTCAAACACCAAGTTTCCTAGGAATGAAACAGAGGTTGACCAGTTTGAAAGATGTAGACCTTCTTCCTCCTAAACCTGAAATATAGAAATCAATGTTTGCTTTAAAGTAGTAATAAGTTTAGGAATTGTAGGTTGTTAGGAACAAGATACATTAATAGTTTACAGCCAAGTTGTTTGCTAAATGCTGTTAAGGAATTGCCTTCCCTAGTCCATGGAAACAGTGGTCAAAAGGAGTGCAAATGCAAGTATGTCCTTCAGGATCTTGAGCCTAAGCCCCGCATTTGGTTTCCAAGGAGAAATCTTGCTTGAATTAGATCAAGGGGCAGGGGGTAAATAAACATCTGCTGTTCACAGGAATTTGCATCACAAAACTGTATAGTACAGTGCTTCTTCAGATGACAAAGTTCTTGTTCTCAGAAACAAACTTATAATAACAAGGACATCTGCTTGTTTCTGCCATATTTAAGGAACAGAAAATTACTGTTTGGTCAAGTTATCA